GCTTGTGAGAAGTTGATCTTCAGAATTATTTTTACACTATTTATGATTTATTTTCATAATGTAAAAAGTGTGTAATTATTAAAATATTAATCCAACCATTGGTGCTGATTTTGCATAGTTATAAAGTTCTTAATATTGGTGCAAAAAATTGTTCTAGTCTGTCTGGATTGGAAGAAGTGTGTGCTGCGTTGTGCCAACCTGTAGTTTGAAGTCTAGAGCAGGTTGTGTCAGTAGCAACATTCGCACAAAAATCAAGGCCTGTGCAACATGTTCCATTTTCCTTCAATGGACAGTAAGAAAACTCACCTTCTTCCTATTCTTAACGTGTCTTTTCCCTTCAAAGTCAAGTCTGTTCAGTCATCTTTTCAAAACAGGCAGCACAGGCATCCACAAACTATGTAAGGAAGAAGCTTTGCTGCAAACCTTAGAGCTGGAAAAGCTAGGAGGATCTATGTATTAATTAGTTGAAACTATTGCTTAGGCAAGTTCAGAGGCATCCTAGGATCAGAAGAAATAAAGCTGGAACTCACTAGTCTCCCCTTTCTGTAATTCTGAAGGTGAAAATAAACCTGAACTGCTGAGAAATAAAGATATATGCAGGCAGTGTCACAAGTAACAGTGCAAGCTAGAAAATGTGAAGGTCTGTTTTTCACAAATCCAGTTTGTTCGGAAATGATGGAACATAATAATTATTGCAAAATGGTATATTTTTAAGGTGTATTTTTGCAGGAGTCTCCTTGAATAAAAGATTTAAAAAAAAAATAAAAAAAATAAAAAATAAAAAAAAAAAAAATTAAAAAAAAAAACCAAACCACCAAAAAAGCGCCATTGGGGAGCAGCTGCAATCTCTGCAACACATTATTTAAATGTTTGGGTTTTCTAAATCCCAAAATATTTTAGACAAACAGAACACTCCCCATTGTTTCCCTTTCCTTCACCTCAAAAATGCAGTCACTGTGAGTACTGTGGAGTTTGACCTCCACTCTTAACTCCTGCTAATCCCCATAAATGTCCATTAATCTTATCTAGCTCTGTTTTAGGCTCTTCAGGGGACTAAAAATATCTTTGCTCCCTTTCCAAGATGAGGTACTTCCAGCTTAACATGCTCTGCTCTACCAGGCTGAGTGCATTGCCCTAAGCCAGGCAGCCCTGACCCAGGTGAAGTCCTTGCTTCAGCTGTGGCTACTATTGGCCTTGTCTTGCTTCCAGTTTTCTCCTTTCTTCTGCTTTCATAGAGGATGAAATGCAGTTCTAGATGCTGCTGGAGCCATCCTGCTAGAAAACAAACGTGTATTCTGGACTGCTGCCAGAGCAGTGGGTTTTCCATTCAGTACTTTTACAGCTTCCCTGTTATGTTTCAGTACTATGCTCCCTCTAAAGCCAACCCTCAGGGTACCAATATCCTACAGCCTTCACATCCTACTGTACTCATGGGCCATGACTTTCCTCTGGCATTCCCTCCTATTCATATGCCTCCTTCACAATTTTGTGATGTGCCAAAGCACATGCAGGACTGCTTGTGAAATGCCTGCCACTTCTGCCTCACCTTGCTTTTCTTAATGAAGCTTTATTTAAATACTTAAAGGCCATTACTCACATGCAACTCTGGTTTGTGAACCTACTAAACCTGCTAATCCCTACCCATTTGTATTAAGGACTCTACATAGATAAAAAGTAATGTAATAGAAGTGGCTTTTTATGTCCTCATCTCACACAGCTTTTCGTTGTGGTTCAATTATAATAACCACACACAAATGTTTAAAAACAAAACAAAAACCAAAACAAGGAGCTGACAAAGCATTTCATGTTCCAGCAAGTAGCAACAACTACACCCAAATAAAAAAAGAAAACAAACAAGGGAATGCCAAAACATTTAAGTCATGTTACTGCAAGCAGTCTTTCTGTCTTCACAGGGTTACTAATTTTTCCTCTCTTCCATTGGCTTCTGGGAATTTCCAGACTGAGTACTTAAAGGGCCTTCCGCTTTCCCATCTCCTATCTGCAATAAAAAAATACAGTGCTTTTGGATTTGGAGCTTAGATGATCCATATATCTATATCTATGTCTATGTGCTCTTCATGTGGAGTAATTGATTCTGGTTGAGATAAATCTGATTAACACACCCTGTGATTAACTGACTCAGGTCTGCTGAACCAGTCACCACGTCAGCCCACAGGCAAGTCCATTCCCTTTTCAGCACAAATGCCAAGGATTTGGCTATCCCTGAGAAGACGCAGACAGGTGCACTTTGTCCGTCTTTAAATTTCTGTACTGAAACAGGTATTCAGTACAGATCATTTTGCACTAACCATGGAGTGGGTTTGCTCCTCAGAATGCACCAGCAGTATATTGTTTTTCAGAGGTACAATAACTCCTTAACAGGTAAATAGAGAGCCAAAGACACCTTACTTGGATACTTTGGAGAGCTCTTAGAAATATTTACTCCTTTTCATCCCTCATACAGAAATCCAGGCTGTTACTTTCTGGTACCCTGCCACGACAAAGCCCCTAAACAAGTGTGGAAAAAAAAGAAAATGTCCATAAAGCAAACAGAGCAGGATGGAGTAAACAGCATGTTTGGGGGTTGGTGGGGTTTTTTAATAAAACACAAGTATTAAAAAGAAAAAAATTATTTTAATAACACTATATATCATGGAGAAATATTTTTAGAATTTATGCCACAGTATTATGAGGGCAAGTGGAAGAAACTGGAGAGGTCTGAAAAAGCCAGGTGACAAGGTGCTGGAAAGGCCTTTGTCTGGGTCAGGGTCTCTGCTAATCTGAAGGGCAGAAACCTGTGCTCTACATGTGAGACTTGGCAGGCTCGTTCCTGCTGATAGTATCAAAAGAGCATGAAAAGAGCCAAGAGAGAGGGATATTTTCTTGACTGTTAAGCCTCTTTCCACGGCTTTGAAGGAACAGGGGAGCAACTTCCCCTTCTAACAAGCTACTTCACCTATGACTTGAAGTTTTCCTGATGAAGTTTGATACTGCTTCAATCAATTACTAAGCTAGCTGTGCACAAGCTTGCTATTGCTAAACCTGGAACAAAAGCCATGATACAATCGGCTCGCTGCATGCTTCTAAAGGAGTAGCAGCACAGCATCTTGCATATCCCTTAAATCTGTTTGTGGTCCAGGGTTTCTGTGTGAGCAAGACAGGGCAGGTCAGGATAAACAGCTGAGATTTTCCAGTGTTGGCATTGCCAGCAGCCCCAGAGGAGCGATAGGGCTGTGCTCGGCACTGACAGAGTGCAGGCACCAGCCCAGTGCAGGGAAACGTCTCCTGAAATGCCTTGGGACTCTCAGACTCGCATGCTGCTGTTCTCTGCCTGGGTCCAGTGCATTGCTGGTACAAAGGTCCAGTATATAATGTGTACAACTTGAACTGCATCTACCCTATGCTAAATATCATTCACCGGCTTTCAGAGATGTGGGCAAAATGAAAAAACGTTGCAGAGAGCATTCCTACAGGCTCTAGCCTTGGCTCCGATTGGGTGTTAGGAGATATAAATGCGTGTTCTTGAGACCCATACATGAATCTCATCACTGGCTGTACAATATTGCCCTAGCTGACAGTTTTGGCAACTCCCTCATATCTTTTAAGTCTTTCTGCCAGGACAAGGCAGTGAAGACAGGCAGTTGCTGTCTCTTCTGGGATATAGAGGTGTAGCTGCTGGTGCCTCCTACCACTTCTGCTACGTGGCTTTCTGTTGGTTGGTGAGGCAAGGTTTCCGATGCAGAATGTGAAAGCTTCAAAATTAAGACTGTCTGAGGAAGCTCAAGAAAATGACTGTATGGAAAGAAATGCTTGACAAGAGAAGCAGAAATGTGGCTTGCTGGCAGACATATTAAAAAAAATGTAAAAATCAGGAAGTGTGTTTCTTCCATCTCAAAATTTAGGATGACTTACAGGATACTGACTTAGAAAAAACAAGTATCATCAGCACAGGAAATTGTGAGGCTTTGCATATGTTCACTGAAAACTCTTCCAAACATAGTGCTGCAGGTGGCACAGACGAGCTACAGATGGGGTAGTAGAGACGTGGGTGAGAGTTTTGCTGCTGCCTGCCCATGCAGCTCAAGGAACAGCCTCCAGCAGGGAGAAGGTAAAGCTGAGGTGCTCCACTAGAAGCCTTGCTGTTGATGCCTCTTCATGTGATTTCTGTCCTTCTTCCCCATGTTATCATTCCCTCTTTGATGTCCAGTGAGATGATTATCAAGTGTAACCATGAGGAAATGCCAAATTTAAGCAAGTCTCTTCTATATTGTTAATGTGGTTACAAAGCAATCATAGTACTAGTTACATTTAGATGTTACCTAGACTTAACGGTGTACCAATGCATCTGAGCACCGGGCCCCTTTCTACTTACATGTATAAAAACCTGGAAAACCATAGCACTTACTACTTTGCCCCTTTGATGGATGTGTACATGTATGTACCTCAGCTTACTCTTCCAAACAGATTCTGGGACATAAGAAGCAGAGAAAGACATTGAATTATGGCCCTACTTTTGATTAAACAGTCCGCTTTGTTCCCCTCCTCCCACACCCCTCATCTTCCCTCCGCGTATGTCTGTGGCAGAGGCGCTCTGACCAGCAGAGTGCCCGATGAATGTCAGGCACGGCAGGATCGCCCGTGGGAGCTGAGCGACCGCCCGTCTGTCCCGCCGCCCCCACGCACCAAGTGGATTGTTTGCGAGTTTGTGCCGGTTTGCAGCCCTAGGAAAAAACCAAAACCAAACCAAACAAACAAACAACAAAACAAACAAACAAAACAAAAAACCCCAAACCAACAACAAAAAAAAATCCCACCACGAAACTCCAAGGCACGGGGGCCGCCCGCGGCTGGCCCGCCTCAGCTCAACAGGAAAAACGAGTCGCCCACAAGGAAAACCCACGGGGATGGGGGGCGGCCGGGACGTCCCGTCCCGTTCCGTCCCGTCGGGGAAGGCAGGCGGGAGGGAGGCGGGGAGGAGGAGTTTGACCGGGGCCGGCGCCTGCATAAGAGGCGGGCAACCTTCAGGCGGGCTGGGACGGACGGTGTCTTTCTGTGCCGTGTTGTGTGGTGCCGTGCCGTGCCTGCAGGATGGAGGAGCGCTACAGCAAGGCGGAGACCCTGGCCCTGCGGAGGAAGCACATCGGGTAGGGGCGACAGGGCCGGGAGCGGGTCAAGGGGGGAGCAGGAGGAAGGGCTCTGGTGACAGCGCTCGTCCAGACCCGCTCGGCGCTACCCGGGGACTGCCAGTGCTGGGCAGCCCCTCCGGCCCCTGGGCAAGACCCGACGGGGAGGGGGGCACGAACACACACAGGACCTGTCAGCCCTCCGGCTTACCAGGTCTCGGGGGTCACCTGGCACTCCCTAGGCGGGCTGTAGTAATTAAAATCCTGCACATCAAACGCCACTTTACTTCTTCAATAGATCAAAGCGAGCAGCCAGAATGTGGTACCCAGGTGTATGTGTAAAATGAGGCTGTGCAGGGTTTTTTTTTCTCTTTGTGAATAAACTGCATGCACCTGAAAAACAGCCGTCTCTGTTAAATGGAGCTGGGCTGTTCCTTAAGCTGAGTCTAACTGGGGGACACACAAGGAGGGCTGCCAGCAGCTGAGACCTGAGTGATAGTCTTGGTTGTGCACTTATCTCTGTGTTGCAATGTTAGTTCCTCCAGAATGTGCAGCTTTAATTCTTTCTTCAGTAGGTGTTGCCAAGTGAAAAATAAGTCCAGGATGTCAATAACAGTGTCTATTTTGCTGATTGCATCTTAAATGTGTGGCATATATAGAAAGCTCACTAAAGATTCATAACTCACTAAAGATTCATAAAAGTCATGGCCACATAAAGAGAGAACATTGACAGCTCTTTAGGGGCAGCTCACTGTTAAGGGACTCCCACCTGTGCAATGATTGTAGGATTGAGCTGTGCTGGGCGAACAAAAACAAACTTTCACAGAATGAACTGATACATTATAGCATAAAAATCTTCGGTTAATAAACGGCCAATGATGATGTAGTGCACTGCTTTGAAAGCATACCAGAAAAATAGCTGAAGGTGTCAGAAAAGATTGATGCAACAGGGCAAGAAACTGCAAGAAATCGCTTTCTAGGAGTCACAGGTTTTACAAGTTCAAAATCTCAGTATACCAAACAATAACTCCCAGGCTTACCTGGAAACAACTGTGTTTATCCAAGGCCATACAGGCATTGCTAAAAGTACAGAAGACTTTCCTTCTGCTCAGTAATATCATTCAACATAATTACTTAGCTGACACATTCTCCGGGGGGCGGGGGGGGGGGGGGGAGTGTTGGGGAAGTGTTTAAAGGGTACTTTGGATAATTTTATAAGGAGCCTGAGTTTTGCTGGAAGTCAGTGTAATTTAGGTGCTTATAAAAAGCTGCTTTTTAAGATTTTATCCAAAGCATGAGATAGTGAGATTTTTAGGACCTGCTCAGCACATCCGAAAATAAAGCCTTCAAGGCATCAGTGTTTTGTTCTTGACTGTGACTTCTATATGCTGCAGTCATCCATTGCGAAATGAATTTTTGGCTATAGTATAAAACAGTGCTTAACGGCTTGGTTTAGTCCCAGTGAGTTATTTGGCCATAGATGTCCCTAAGGCATGTAAACAAACAGAGCTACAGCCTAGAAACACAGCAGGACATATAAGGACCTGGAATGACGTGCAGTCCGTGTGCTCCTGTGAAACCAATTGCAAGTCAAGCTTTGAAAATGCCCTTATTAAAGACCTCTTTCTGTTCCCACTGTGCCTGGGGAAGTGGGTGGGGGCTTTTTTCACTTTCAGCAAGAGCCACCACCTGAATGACTCACAAGCACTTTGCAGAGGGAGGCAGTGGACTCTAGAGCTGCAGAAGATTAACTCCCTCAACATTCAAAGCAGGTGGAACAACAGAAAACTAAAATGGTGTTATTTTATAATTATTCTTTTTTAGGCCTTCCTGCAAAGTTTTCTTTGCCAAGGACCCTCTGAAGATCGTGCGTGCTCAGGGCCAATATATGTTTGATGAGAAAGGAGAAAAATACTTAGACTGCATCAACAACGTTGCACATGGTAAGCAGTTTAACTTGTGAGACTGCTTCCATTCTTTAATTTCTAATAGAGATCAGAACACACTTCTGCCAAGTGATGATACTCACAGTGCTTCTCTGAACGTCCTTGTGTGGTTCAGTATCTAACTGCTTGCTGGTAATAGCTAATCATTTTCTTCTTTAGTTGGCCACAGTCATCCATATGTGATAAAGGCTGCAACAAAACAGATGGAACTGCTCAACACAAACTCCCGCTTCCTGCATGACAACCTTGTTCAGTATGCCCAGCGTCTTACAGCCACCCTGCCTGAGAAACTCTCTGTTTGCTATTTTGTTAACTCTGGGTATGTCTGAATAGTATCTTTTTTCCATTGTGACTATTTTGCTCCTCTTTGAGATCGACACTCAGGGTAGCTTGGTCCAAATCTTACTAAGTAGGACTTAGTAATATGCGACAAAAATATTTACAGTACTGGTCAAAACTTCCTTCTTATTTGCAACTGTCATTTTAGTGTGGTGGCTCAAAGAAAGAAAGCCAAAACATGAAACTGGCCTGCTAAACACTAGTGGGAGTGGAAAAAAGCAAGAAAAGGAAATTAAGACTGCAAATTGGTGACCACTATGTACAGATTGGTGAATGCCATTCGTAAACTGACACATAACCTTGGAAATTAGTATTCTTTAGGTAGTCTGTTAGTCTGTGATTCCTTCTGCTACCAGAAGAGACAACCTGTAGGGACCTGTGAGCAGAGGGGCTGCAACAGGTCAGTCTGGAAGCTTGAGCGCTCTTCCTACGTGCAGATTTGCGTTCTCTGCTGCCTGATGGTGCCAGTGCTAGGGAGGGTGGAAACATTGTGGAGTGTGGGAGATGGGGCATTACTTTTCAAGGGTTTGTGGCTGCATTGTGTTCTCAACTGCAAAGCAGTCTCCTTTGTACCAAGAGGATGTAAATATCTAAAAACAAACCGGGGGAGGGGAATAAAGCATCTCTTTGTTTGCTGTTTATACAAAGAGCTGTTTTTTCTTTGCCCCCTTACATGGCACTTGTAGTCTCAACCTTAGCATTGTAATCTGTATAGTAACAAAGCCTGCTGTGTTGTTTTATTATGTCCATTAGTACCATGCGTCGTCTTCTGTTTCAGAATACCCTTTTAATTGGAAGTACTTCTTCACTCTTTTGCTGCCGTATCTCTTATTATGCAGGTCTGAAGCAAATGATCTTGCTTTACGACTGGCTCGGCAGTACCGTGGGTACCAAGATGTGATCACCCTTGAAAAGTAAGTACATAGAGTACCTTATGTGAATTCAGCCAGGAACTCCTGCCATTACTTCAGAAGCACCTTTGCAGCACCCCCCTGCTGTTTATACTCCCCTGCCTGCTGAAAGAAAAGCTTTGTTGCTTTAGCATTAGAACAGGTCAGGAAATCCCTTTTTTACATTTGGATAAACACAAGTTTTGAAGATCTCTGAAAAATAAGCTTGTTCATCACCCCAGAAGGTCGATCACCCCAGAAGGTCGGTCACCTGTTAGAGGGCATTTCCCACAGACACTCCCAAAGCAATTCAAGAGACTTGAATGCTGGTTTTCAACAGCAATGAGTTTTCTGGTCACTGGGCTGCTCTGGAAAAAAAGTCTTCTGTTTGTCATGCTTTGGTGGACGTTTGATTTTTGCACAAATAATTATTCAGTGGTCAAGAAGAAAGATGCTGTAGCTTTGCAGTGGTGTTGCATTGATGCTCAGCTCTCCTCCAGTGAACACAAGTATGCATACAAAATCGACTGGCTCCAAATAGGATGCACTGAGAGGGCTGTCAGCCATAGGGAAGGTGGCCAACCACGTTTCTAGTGGATTTTCCTGTCCTAGATGCAGCTGTAGGTTTGGTTACACTGCTGTAGTGCTGGGTCTTTTTCTCAGGTTGCGATTAGAAAGTCCAGCCAGAGCAACTGCAAGAGCACGTCTATCTGAACAGCAAAAACTTGTTTGACTCAGCTATCTCTGTTAGCTCAGATCCCTGTTAGCCACACACTAACTTAGTGTGTGCTACTATGAGATTGTGATGTCTGATTTGGTTTGAGGTTCCCTTTAAGTTTATGGCTGAACAGAAGTGATTATTCCCTGAATGAATATGCTACATGCTTTAGGCTCAGAAGGCTCTGGTTCCTCGTTTCTAAATCAAAATAGCCTCAGTAGTAACCAACTTTAGCATACTCTGCAGTATAAAGCTTTTATATTTGAATAATATCCTTATCCTTCTGCCAAACCATCTATCCTGTAGGGTCTTCAGGGCAGATAGCAGTGTGCTGTTGCTGCATAAGATCCTCACTTTCCAATGCAATGCACACTCTTGAGAGTCTTTGCAATGGTGTTGGGGTCTAACTTGCAAGACTTGGGTTGGCGAGAGTGGGACCCACAGGTTGGAAATGAAGGAGCTGGACCCACTGCTGCTAGGTAAGGCTACTCGGGCAGCCACTTTGGAGGTGGTGTGATCCAGGGGACATCATCTTGGTCTGTCCTCATGCTGGCACTTGATTTTATGCAAGCAAAAACCCTCCTGCTTCCAGTCTTGCTAGAGAGCTAAAGCCAACAGCGATTTCATACTGCCTTCGAGAGAAAGACTGGGTAAATTAAATTAAGTTCCATTTGCAAACGGTGCTACTGTTTGCAGATGCAGTCGCTGATTCTGGATTATTTATAGGCACAGCTGTAAGTTTAGCTTTTCTCTCCATTTGGTAAAAATTGACTTGGATATTTAACACTCATGCAGTGCTTACCATGGCCATGTTACATCTCTGATTGACATCAGCCCCTATAAATTTAATCAGCTGGGAAAGGACTGCAAGAAGGAGTATGTGCATGTGGTAAGTGTGGTTTTTTTGTAATTTTTATGCCTGTTATGCAGCATACTGAATTACCCTCTTCTGGTATACATACATTTTCATTTTGTTTTGCTGATGCTAGAGTACATATGCTTGGCTGTTTTTCAGTGGAATAAATATGGCAAAATTGTTTGCTTTTGGATTTCGAAGTGGGTATTCAGCTGTAAGGCTGATTTCCTTCAAGTGCTAGAATTTTTCTTAGTCACTGCATTGTATAGTTACACAATTTGATAAAATTAGCCAACAGACATTGTGTTGGTTTGGCTAAAGATATGCGGGACTTCGAGTCTACTTCCAAAAACTTGAAAGGCAGACTGCATAAGTTTACATGAGCTGGGTATAGGGCTTATGAGTGTCTGAGTGTGATTTTTTTCAACTTAAACTTGTATATCTTACAAAGACAATAATCTTTCTCAGCCCAGAAATGTACACCAAGCAGGTCTTTCCTATCTAGACCTACTTGCATTAACTGCACTGCCACAGTAGTATCCATCTTCCTATACCACTTCCTTTCTCTTTATTTACTAAACCTCCCCAAAAGCGTTTGTAGAGGCTTGAATGTCATACAGATTTGTACCATGACTAGGAAGCTGGAAGGGAAGTGACAGACTGGAAAACCCCATTCTCCAGTTGCAGAAATGGATCTCCTGTAAGAATCTGAAATAAGATGATGTATGAGGACTCATTGTTGTGTCCTGAGGGAGAGGAAGGACAATCTTGAAATGGGGATGAGGTAGATGATGGCTCTTTCAACAGTTGTGTTCAGTAATGTTGAACACATCACAGGGCTTCAATGAGTTTAAAATCCTCTAAGTCTTTTGCAGTTCTGAGCAGAAATTCAGGCTGTACTAACTCCTATTACCTATCTGTGTGAAAAGCCAATAAAGCAGAGCAGCAGAAAAGAAAGTAAATGTTTCATAAAAGGATGACCTTTAAAAAAAAAAAAATTGGTCTTTTCAGGCTCCTTCTCCAGATATCTACAGGGGGAAATATAGGGAAGACCACCCAGATCCAGCAAGTGCTTATGCTGAAGAGGTGAAAAAGATTATTGAAGAAACACAGAAGAATGGACGTAAGGTGTGTGTTTTGTGCTCTAGAAATGTTGAGGCTTCATCTATTAAATGCGGCATGGGGGCATGTAACAGGCAACTAAGGACTTGTTTCTTCACTCACTTTCACAAGCTTTGCCCTCCTTTTTTTTTTCTATGATGCGTTCTGTGTTCAAAATGGGCCATTTTTCTACCTGATGCTCTTATCATAGTTTTTCTAGGCGTCAATGAAAGGATCAACAATACAGTTGAATATATGCAGATACAATCACAGCAGTTTAATTTCCTATTGTATGCACTGAATTGGTAGATTGTAAATATCTTAGGAAAAGGTTTGAGGTCAGCTGAGAAACTACGTCACAAATTCTAGCAAGGATATGTAAAATTCTCCGGGTCACGGAGAAAATCTTGATACTACATTTCTGAGCCTGGGAGCTTAAGATAACTTTGGAGTCATATAAAAAGGTGAAACTTTCAATCATACACAATATGACCTTGATAAAAGCAGACCATTTCTGAACAGGTTTACCTAAAATGCGTGTTAATGTTTTATATGATAGCATTAGTGTGTTGAGACATGTAGGACTTGATCCAAAACCCGCTGAAGTCCCAGAAGACTTCTGCAAAGCCTGGAACATGTTCCCTTCTAGACGGATAGATTTACATCACTCTTATTTTATTTCTTCATTGACTTTTTTTATTCTCTACTAACGCATAGTTTTTTTTTTTCTTCCCTTGTTTCCTTTCTTTTGCATATTTCTTAGGTTTTGGTGACATAGACCTGTGGCAGGACAAGTTGTGCTAAAGGCTAAGCCTCACATGCTATGGGAAGCTTCGTACTCTTTGGCCGTAGCATGCCTCTTCAAATATAGTGTATGGTTCTTTACACGTTACTGCTCGGCCTTGTTTCCAGGAAGACTGCACCAGCACAGAGACCTCTTGATGCTCAGGGAGGGGTTCAGAAGTGGTGTGGGGATGCAATCCCTTAAATAGCAGACTTATGACTGAGACCTTGGGGTAATATCGTATCTCTGCTGCATAGACCTCTGCTGTTGACAAGAAACAAATTTTGATGTTCCAGTGTATCTGATCTGCTGCTCTTACTCTTCTTGAATTAAAATAACTTTCTTTTTCATTCCTAGCAACTGGAATTATATCATCTGTAGAATTTTTCTCCTCTTTTGTCAAGTACCTCATGCTGGCATTTTACTTGTGTAGTTATTTGCATTAGGCAGGGGTGCCCAAAGACTAGCCACAGGTCATCTTACAGTTCAGCTTCTATCCACCTCTACCTGGTGTTCAGAATTGAACAAAAAAACTGGTCAACACATATACCTGCAAGTTTTATTAACTTCTTAGGGAAAAGGGCACACACTATTGTGTGCCTCCTGTAAATGGAAATTTTAAAATAAATTTATGTAGCTCCTGGAAGCCTGATCCAACATCCACTGACACCAGTAAGTGTTGTCAAATTCAACAGCTGTAGGACAACGGCTTAATGCCGATCCTTGTATTCCCATCAGGCTGCAAAATTGACCCTGGCTACTGCAAATCTGGGCACTCCTGATTACAGAATTAATAAATTCTTTAGCCGTAGCTGTTCTCAAGAGCCCTCAGTTGTCCAACTGGTTGCGTGATTAAATTAAGGTACATATTTAAACGTTTATTTCTAGACTGTTAGATGTCAGTGCAAAGGCCAAGTAGATGAACACAGCTCTCACATGAGTTTGTTTCTTATAGATTGCCGCCTTCATAGCTGAATCCATGCAGAGCTGTGGAGGCCAAGTAATTCCACCTGTGGGCTATTTCCAGAAAGTGGCAGAGTACGTACATCACTTCAAAAGGGCATAACTGAAAAATTAACCAAAGAAATAGCTTTTTCACTGTAGGCTTATCTAATCAATTCAGCTATTAACCTCTCTTATTCTTGGCTGTGGTTAATTTCTATTTATTGAAGAGTATGATTCCACTTCCATTTTTTATGGAATATTAGCTAATTGTTTTTAGCTAGATAATTGCTATTCCTTACCTATCTTTAACTCTTAGCCACAAGTTTGATGGAAGATGTAGTTAAACCATCATAGTTATAATGCAGCAGTATCATTATAGTGCCTCTATTTTTCATCAAAATGTCAGAGGTTTTTTTTCTTAATATGTAGCTTACTAAAAGTTTTATAGCTATAAAATAGCTCTAGCTGTGTTCTTTCTTTTTTTCCTAACCTGATCTCACACTGGAGAATTTCTGTGATACAGACTCCTTTGTCCTTGATTGGCTACCCAAGACACGTACTGCAGCACTAGTCTTTCAAGCTATTCTGTTTGGTTTTAGGTACGTGCGTGCAGCGGGTGGAGTGTTCATAGCTGATGAGGTCCAGGTTGGCTTTGGCAGAGTTGGGAAGCATTTTTGGGCATTCCAGCTGCAAGGCGAAGACTTTGTACCTGACATTGTCACCATGGGAAAGCCCATTGGCAATGGACACCCTATGTCTTGTGTGGTCACAACAAGGGAAATTGCTGAAAGTTTTGGTGCTTCCGGATTGGAGTATTTCAATACAGTAAGTTCTTAAGTGAAGCTTTGCCTTTTTTTTACCTTTTGGTCTGCATTTAGCAGCTAGAAGTTGCTCGAGTGATTCAACTAACATCTGCATCCATTACTGCATCACATTACTAAGAGCTCAAGTCAACCACAGTCTAATATCTAAAAGCAAGTAGAGAGGCTTTGAAATGTGTTCTGTATCAAGTGGTACATCATCATATGGACCAGCACTAACTCTCTGGCAAGTAATGTATCTGAGGTCACATCCATACAGATAAATTCTTCCTTATGCCTCTTTTCCTTTCCCCCCTTTGAAATGTTGATAATGTAAAATTTCGTTTTCTTGGATAGGCTCAGTGCTGGTAGAGCTTATGTCCTGGCAGACCTTGCTCTGCATTTGACACCTAACAAAACAGTGACCCTTTACCAGGAAACATTTCATCTGCATGCATGCCACAGAGGTGCAGCTTTCTTCCTGTTTACTGAGCCCGCTTTCTGCTCTTGTGACTCAGCCGTCTTCTCAGCTACCATCGATCCCCCTGCTTTTAATGGAGTTTATACCCTCCAGTTCAAGAAATATTGGATCTATCACCCTTTGCCCTTCCCAGGAGCATTTTGCCTGCATATGCAATCAGCTGAACGTTTCAGCCCTTGAAGTCTTCAAATTACTGAGACCCGAAGTGGAGGATGAGGGAGCCCCTCCCTTGCCCAAAGTGTGGGGGATGATGTTCTACAGCCTGAATGGCACAAAATCCTCACCTTTTCAAGCTTGCCTCATGAGCATGTCAAGCAGGAGAGGGCAAGTGAAAATTACATGGATAAACACAGATGTATGTTTTGTTTTGATGGGTTTTGTTTTCGATGATGGATTTTGTTTTCCTGTTTGTCTTTGCTATCAGTTTGGAGGCAATCCAGTGTCTTGCGCTATTGGAATGGCTGTGCTGGATGTGATAGAAAAAGAAGATCTCCAAGGAAATGCTACACGTGTAGGAAATTATCTCCTGGAGTTGCTGGCTGAGCAAAAGAAGAAACATCCCTTAGTGGGAGACATCAGGTAGGTGTGTTACAGCAATGTCAGAGAAGAAAATAACTCTGCTAGGAAAAGCAACAAGTTTGGAGGGAGTGGAACACAAAAACACTTTGTCATGATTTTGCTACACCTCATTTTTAAAATGGACTATCTGAAACTTAGTTAGGTATAAGCATAACCACTAGAAAAGCTCTGGGAGAGTAGGATAAAGAGCCATGTGCCTCAGACAACCCAGTTTTCAGCACACTGTTGAGCTGATGCAGACCTTGCTCAAATCTGTGGTCAATTTCCTTGGGAGATGTTACTGCGGATTTTCCTCATGTTACTACCATTGATTTTTTTTTTACTACCACTGGGTTTTTTTGCAGGGAAGAGGTTGGGTTGTGGGGTTTGTGTACTTCTTGGTTTTCCTTATTTGTCTTCCACAGCTCCCTGGCTTTGCAGGATAAGAGAAAAAGAAAATTATTCTATCATTCTAAACTGACCATGTACCCTTAATGAGACAGTTAAATTTATTTATCCAGGAATATCTGTTATCTCACTTGATTGTGTGAAGTAGCCAAAATGTAACCAAAGAGAAAGTCTCCTCTTTCATGCTCTTTTCCCTATTTGCACTCCAGGGAAGGGAACCGCAGTTGTTAGAAACAGGTACTACATTTTCAGCAGAAGGCTTGGGTTACTGATACTGGATTTCACTTGTCTGTACTTTTTTTCTCTACTCCAGGGGTGTTGGATTGTTTGTTGGAGTGGATCTGGTGAAAGATCAACAAAAGCGAACACCAGCCACAGCTGAAGCCCTTCATCTTATTTACAAGTAAATAGTTTTTTAAGACTATGTGCAGTGTTCGAACCCTTCTACTATTCTCCAACACTTAGTCATTAATTTCAGTTTAAATTTGTGTAGTTTTTGATAACATAGTACTAGAAAAAGAAAACTTTCAAACTCTGTCTCAGACTGCAGTGTGTGACAGGACAAAATATAGTTTTATATCCATGTCTAACACAGATGTTTCCTCTTTCCACAGACTCAAAGAGCGTCAAATCCTTCTTAGTGCAGATGGACCCTACAGAAATATTCTAAAATTTAAACCACCAATGTGTTTCACAATGGAAGATGCAAAACATGCAGTGGAGACAATTGATGCACTTCTTACAGGTATGTGTGCTTTAGGGCTCAAAGGAATACTCTTCTTTGTTCATTTTCCCATGACCCCTTAGAAACACCAGGTACCATAACCTAGACCATTACATGCAAGGAAAAGTAATAAACTGCGTTTCTTACCATTTGTCCAAACTGCTGTTCATAATGCAATTATTATAAATAAACAAAAAGCTCCATATGTACTTAATCCAAACTTTAGGCAAAATCCTGCTCTTAATCCTTTCTCTCACAGACTCAGTGCTATTACTCATTTCTGGTCACATATGCTGTATGTTAAGGAGTGCATATATTAATTCAGCACAGGCCTGAAACACACTGCAGAAACACTGGTGTAACTTTCCATAATGTGCTCTACCTATTTTTTTTCTTTTTGTGTTTTTTTTAACTGGCGTACTGCAACATGATTGTCTCATTGAAATTAGCCTGAAGGTTTTCAGGCTCTATTTATGTTTTACCTGGGGACCAATCCAGGGGAAAGTAATATCTGGTATACTATTAGCATAAGGATTCTCAAAGCCCATTCTACATTAGATGCTTCCATCTTCTGAGATTTTAACAGCTGGAGTTAGACTACCATGAACCTGCTGGACAAAGGCAGAATTCCACTTTGAAAGGTCTATTTGATACCCCATGCCACAGTCAAGTTGCTAATTGTATTCTTTTCTCTAACCCCCCCCAAGCTACACAGTCCTGATAGATTCATCACGTTGCCTTGAAAAATTATGTAGAAAGTATTCATCATTCTTCAGTTATTCTTCTTGTGATAAATTCCCAGAGAAATAGCTGATTTTTTTTTACTTCAGCAAGCTATTAAATTGCCTGTGTGCTTACTTACTCCCAGTTCTTTTAAATTTAATTATTTTATTACTTTTTTTCAGAAATTGAAGAGGCCACTGAAATGAAGACAGAAAATAATGCATCTACAAATATACAGTATAAAAGAAAAGTATGTTTTAATTTTTTTTTTTTAACTCTTATTCAGATAGGTGCTTGCAAATCAAGTATAAATTGCTTTGGTAGAGCATGACTTAATTTTTGGTAGCGTGAGTGACTCTGTGCCTTGAAACTGAGCTCAGAACATAACTCCCTACTAGGAACCTGAGAGGATTGTCTCACTGGGGCAAATCTAAAAAGAGCTGAGTAATACAGACCTACAATGAGAAACACGCTACAGGCAAGCCCCTTGCCTTATCTGCCTTTGTGCAAATAAGACCAACCAGACTTTGAGCTGCACAAAGTCATGAGCAGAGCAGTCAGCAGTTGCTAGTTCTAGGTATTACATGCTACTGATGGATATTTGGCTTTCTAAGCAAGCCTTCAGCCTGGAAAGTGTCCAAGTTTTCAGACAGTTCCACGGATTTTGTTTCCACTGTAGCTCTTTGAGTATGAATGGCTGACATGCATCCAAATTAGGACTTCTTAGGTTGCAGCCTCAGCTTTGGATAAATCACATATAATTTCTCACACCTTTGAAAAAATGTCGCCCTCTTTATAGGAAAGCTTGCTAAACTGTCCCTTGGTGGGTTTTCCAGTGGTGATGTGGAGGTGAGAAAGCAATAGCTCAGCTGTCTAGGGATGTAGTAATTATGCAGAGACCCGATCAATTATTGGTTATATATCTAGATATTACTGGATTTAGAGCGCAAGCCTCCTCTTACAGTCATTTTTACACATTCAGTTCAATTTCTTTCAAAACTAAGATGTTGTGCCAGTAACACAGAGTCAGGCAGAGCTATCTAATGGGAACCAAGTCCAACGGTTGCCTGGTGGAAAACATGCACATGCCTCCACTGATTTTTCCTTCCTGTTTCAGACAGCTGAAGAGACTTCTCAACCAGAAGGTGCAAATGAAAGCACTGGTCACATGAATGGAGCTGCCTGCAGACAAGAAAATGGGATTTATTCGAAAAAACGCTCGCTGCCAAGTAAAAGAATAAGAACATGAAGAGGGAAAGTTTCTTCATTCAATTTGAATTTGTGTCAGTCTTGCTTTTGAGATGAAGAGTGCAATAGTCCGAGTCTTAGGATCTGTTTGAAGCCTAGTCATGCCTTCCACAAACTGTCTGAATTCCTATTAGCTTCAGTAGGTTTAAAATACCTTTTCAGATACATGACGACTGTGCCATGTGGTTTGAAATCTAGATGTGCCAGAACAGACAAGTCATAAAAAAATACCGTGGTACCAATGGCAGGCTTGATACAGGTGCACAAACTCAGTGAAAACTGTGGATTTACCCATATTATGCAGAATCTGATTTGCTTAACCACCATAAAGCAGATGCCAATCTTATTAAGTTTAAAAATATATGCTTAACGTGCTATTTTTACATTATTTTAAATTTCAATATGTAATATTGAGATGTTAATTACTTCCCATGTTTTAATGGCTGAATTCACTTAACAATTGCTTGAGAAAGAAATCATTATTATTTTCCGGTGTAACTTAGGTCCTATGGACCATATTCCCAGCTGATGTAAATTAGAGTAGCTTTGCTAATGTCGACAATGCTCTATTAAGAGTCTACCACTCTGTAGGTAGAGACATGATGTCTATGCAAGGCATTCTCACCATAAATTCAAAGAGAATGAAGAGTCTAATTTTCTATGAATAAAGCAACTTTTATAGAGAACTATTTATATAGAGTAAGATTTTATGATCTTTTTCCCAGAAGTTTATAGATTGAACCCTATCAGCCCATAAAAGAAGCAAGTAGAGTATATATAATTTCAGACACACTGATTGATTGAATTTTAACCTAAAGGTCTCTCATTTTAGTTGTTTTGACAGTCAGGGGAATTGTTACCTGATCCTGTCGAAGCAGTGCTGTTCCTTTTTGTCAGTGGTGATGAAAAGTCACATACCAGTTGCATGGGATCCTGACAAATAAATGGCTATGCTAACATTGGATAGATTACTAAAATGAGAGGACCACTGCATTAACCATGCATGCAACCACTGCCTATTCGTGCTGCAGATACTTTAGACTGACTTGCCTCCTTGTCAGTGTTAAATTTCAATGAAAGCACAAAAGCTCTACTTCCCTTTCTTAATACATGCACAACTCCATGCTATAGAGGACATGGGGGGCTTTACAAATAGTTTGTACTTCAGAAAAAAATACAAAATGTATTTATTTCCTCTTCAATTTTAATACCCTCAATTCTGCTCTTTCCTAATTGCTGCTAGTGATCTTACTCATATGACTGAAAATTGAGCACCTTATCTATTTTCACAATTTGCTATGTTATTATTGATATTTCTGGTGTAACATCTTCCACCATCCTCAAGCTGACTTATTTTCTGTTTCATGATGCTTGAATAATTCTTCCATAAAAATAAATCTCTTGTTTACAATTGTGATATCCTCCGCAAAGAGGTGTTTTTTTTTGTTTTAATTTTATTCTTCAGTAGCACCTATTTGATGAGGAAAGTAACTTCAATTTTAGCTGGAGGTTGTCTCCATGCCAAAGCACAACTGATTAGGCTATGTTTCCCTGAGGCCCTCAGCTCTTGGAAGCTCTTACCCTCCAAGCCAGATGTTGTCTCAGTTGCTATAATTCAGCCCCTGCTAACCTTTCACCAGGAAGGACATTGAAATGAAATGAAACTATACAAGGTCTTTTCCGAAATGAAACTACACAAGGAAATAAGTCAACCTAATGGTATGTCCAAAGGCATGGCTTAGGTCACTCCCTGTGTGGAGTGCCACTACTTAAATTATACCTCATCCACTGTGTGCAGCAGCAGCATGCACTTTCAAGCAAGCCAATATTTGTGTGATTTATCGAAAGTCTTAAGCTAAGAGGCACAGAGCTCAGCAGTATGTACTATGACACTGACTGTTGTGGCAGGTCATTAATATTTTATTTTCAAAAATATGTCAAAGAACTAGATGTAAAAAATCCAATTAGACTAAATCTGATGTGGGTGTGGGGGGTGTGTGTGTATCTGAAGTTTGCAAACTCAAAAACACAAGGGGTCTGTGCCTCTTTACTTCTACCTGAACCTGTTTCTTGCTTCTGCACATGCTCAAAATATTTGGAACAACCATTGCTCCAATTCACTAGTGTTTTTAACCCAGCTTCTGCTTCACAAGTCAGGAAGCTCTCTACCTCTTGGTTCTGCTCATTTTGCAAGGTGCAAGTTACCTAGAGCTAAATCTCCTAGTTTCGTTAAACAAGAGAGGATATCACTCCTACGAGACACACTGCAAAAAGCCACTATCATTTAAATGGAGGAACCAATCCAACAGTTACCAGGAGTTGAACTAGACCTACTAGACTTACTATTACTATACCAATATTCCCACAGTACCTCAGAGTCCACCCGCAAGATTAAGCACAGTCACTACTGTGAAAGGCTTACTCTTTAGAAGAGCCGGACTAAGGGATGGGAGAATGGAAGCAGAAATTATTAAGACTAAACACAGAGAGTGCAGTTCCAGTCAGCTGAACTGATCAAATAGATTCCCTCCACTAAACAGGAAAGGGTTTTTCCACCCCCCTTCCAACTCTGTTTCCCTTTTTCTTCTTTCTACCTCTACTATCCTGACTGTGCAATTCCTGGTTTTAGCCATATGTTTCAACATCCACACTAGCCCTTACAATCATCAGGCACCTCCATAAGCCAGTTCAACTCACTAAACTTTGTGTAAACAAAAATAAGACTATGTGCTTTCTGCAAGGCTCATGAACAGCCTCATACGGGAGTAAGAGATAGCAGAATGAAAGAAAGGCAGGACTCCATCTCAAGTTGGTATCACACACTGGAGTTAGTTACATGTATCTTCACTCTAACTCATCCTACTGGAAGCTGAAACAAGGTAATTTAATTGTATACTCATAGTTTACCACTGTTTCCATCGCTTTTGTATTGCATATTTATGACTTTTAAGCAAACAGACAGGTTAGAACAAGCGATAAGGACGGTGCTTGTGGCAAATACTGATGAGAGTGTGACACTGAGCGTCTGAATCCACTGCCACTTAGTTCCCCTACATAAAAGCAAGCAGGACTGAGGGTGCATGGAGTTGGAAAGCTGTGCCTTAGACAGCACTGTTCTGGAGAGAAGAATTGGCATCAAAAGTTGCCATGTCAGCACAACACCACAGAACTGGCAGGTAAACAGATTATGCCTTAAGTCCATACAACATTGCAACAGGACTACATTGAACAGAAGAATTATGCAGGAGTATTATATATTGTCTGCTTTTTAGATGAATGGTTTCTTAGACATACAACAGCCTCCTATCAGATAATACATTTATAATCTTCACAACTGTTAAGCTTGGTGGCTAGGAACTAACAGACAGCCCCAACACACGAAGTCCAGAAGAAAGTCCACACATACATTCAGAAGAAGAAAGCTCTGATTATATCTGGTAAAATAAGGGAGGTAAATGAAGGGGACCAAGGGACAAGCCTGAAAACTTATTTTACATGTGTCATTGCAATTCACTAGGCATTTCTGTTAAAAAAAAATAAAGCTGAGACAAAAATTCATTTTTAACATGATAAAAGTCTGGGTCAAAATTCTGACTGGGCCTGGGGCAGCACTTTCAGCACCAACATATGAAAAAAAAAGACCTAGAAAAAGAAGTCACAAATACCTATCAGAAAATTATATCTAAGAGGAGAAGGTTCTTTAAATGCCTCTTGCAAAATGGGACACAAGAATGCATACAAGCATCTCTTGGATAGTAAGCTCCCAGATACTCTAAGCTGAGCTGAAAACAACAGAACGTGTTAAAGAAGCTGCAAGTGGTAATATACTAGAGAAGACCAAGTAAGGAACTGGGATGTCAATGAAATAGTATTCATTATACTGTATGGTTATGTACGGGGTATACACATATCAGCATATTGTATCTGCATGTTCAACCTACATCTGTGGGCTTTTTCTTCATTTAATAACTTGGAAAAAAACAAATTACTTACACTTGCAAGCAGGGTAAATTAGCTCATAGCAGCAGAAAAGTTAGTTTAATTTTCCAGGTTTCTCAGTGATGACTTAAGCAGGTGTTCTAATAATGTTTCTTTTCAACCTGGACCTGGCCTGTGCTGCTGCCAGCCAAGCTCTGCCAGAAGGATTATGCAAGGGAAGACAAGGCCAAATGACCGTGACGGGATTTCCCTATCTCTGCTATCCATACACATTTGTATTTTCCCACCTGGAACATTTGATTTTCTTGGTGCCTGTGGTTCAGCTTCCAGAGCTGCAGGCTGTCTTACAAAGTCCATGAGAAACAACTCTACAGAGGAAGAATCTTCATGTTGATATTTCGTAAGGAAAGACATTTGGCCCTAAATGAAAACTCTAAATACAAAGCACCAAAAGTTTAAAGCCTTCACTGAGCTCACAGCTCAAGACCAATCTGCACTAAGCAAAACAGTCTCCAGTCTCTCCCACCCCTGCTCACAGCCATTCATGCGTCTTAGGGTGAACACTGCTCCAATATCACAATGACATACATTTACAACAATATCGAATTTAAAAAAAAAATAAATTAAAGGAAGCAGAAGGGAAAAAACATGAAGAAATGTGTTTTGGCACAGCACTGAAGTTTGCTGAAAGTCTTTAATAATCAACAAGGCAGAAAATCCTGGGGTTGCATGAAAACCTGGAAAAGGATTCCTGGCTTAAGCTTAGCTATTCATTCATTATACAACTCAAAGACTGACATCATCTTTATGTTTCTATTTACTTCCACATATAAAAGCAGCTGTAATAACCTTTGTTATGGTTTGTAAAGGTTAATCACCTTATCAGGAACAATACCAATTATATAGGACTGCAAGTCCCAAAGTACAGTTAGCTCAATTTACTTATTTGGAGTTATTTTGCTTTATTAATAACTTGCCTCTGGTTTTGTCAGGGAATAAATCCCTATGACAGGCAATACAAAGTCAGAGATTGATTATGTGAAATATCAGAAAGCAATGAAGAGACAGGGAAGGAAGCAGTCTGGTTAGCATCTCCCAGGAAGCTTAAATATCTGTAAATACATTTTCAGTTGGTACAAGACACTTCTTTAAACAAATAGAAGGCTTTTGGTATCCATTCCTTAGTTTCTTCATTCTAGTCCCAAAATAAGGCATGAAAGCAGTTCATCTGAAAAATACACTGCTAACACGCTCCAGTGGCTTGCTCTTGCAAACAAAGGTTTCTGTTCACAGTACTTGTAATCAGCTCTCAATTAAGTTAGCTTTATTCTATTGCTAATTAAGCAAGACACAGATCTTATAAATCATAAATAAATTAGACTATAAGGAAAGGCTATATGTTGACATTCAGTTTTGAGGAACAACATTTGAATACAGATGAGACCTAAAAGTCTCTGTGAGACAAGACCAGATTCCCTTCCCTTCCATTATGCGTCTATGCAAAAATAATCACAAAATTTAATGCTGCTTTCTTAACTCACAGTGAAATGAGGACACTGTTATAGATGGTAAAATGCTAGTGGAAAAAAAAAATACTTCCAGTGTAAGCTAGATTTGATGTAACAAAGTTTTTTCTGACATAGACGTGTAAATATAACAAATACCTACAAGTAAGGACCGCAACTTCATTCTTTTGTCTAAAGTATTATACTACTTCCCAGTTCACAAGAGAGGTTGGAGAGATACCTGCAAGTACTGTATAAAACCATTTGCCTACAAATCCACATGGCTCCATATGAAGTTCAGAAGACTTTTCCTTCATGTGCCTAATTACTTATTTGCTGCATCCCAATGAGACTCCTGTTCTCCTTTTACTACACCTAAACTACACCATAAATCTTTTCCCAGTTTGTATTTGAGAGCATGGGGATTGGACACACTGGAAAGCATGCTAAGAGAGCACTTTGTATTGCTGGCATTCCCTCCTCCAAGTACAGTCAAAGCAGCACCATCTTTCAGGTGCTGCTGGGTACCCATCTCCAGGTATATTTCTGTTCATTTTATTTTGTCTTCCAGAATTCATAAAGTTATCAAACATCTTCTTCCTCCTTGTCCCCTCAAAGGTTTGCCAGCTACTGAAAATACTGCCCTCTGTAAAATCTTGCTATTCTACATTCCAGAAGAACAGTCTAGGAGAACAAATAGTAGCTGTTTATATTAGTATTTCTTCTATAAATATTATGTGTGTATGTACATTATGCATATAGGAGTAGGTATATATATATATATATATACAAACACATACAGAAACATGTATACAGACATGTTCCAAAGAAATTTCTCTGTAAGGCAATCTCTTTATGCTCAATAAATGTAATGTGAAACAGAAAGAATCTCCATTTGACATATTTTTGAGATGAATAAAATAAATTCTATGAAGGGAGGGGGCTTAGGTAGAGATTAGTAGTTGCA